TGTGAGCTGGTTAGAACTTTGTGATACAGAATCTTATCATCTGTTGTGCTGTTTATCACAGAGGTATTGCCAGTATATATGCCTTCTAAATGACTACTTTTAAATTTTATTTTATTGTTGTTTTTTTTTAATCTCATACTTATCTTGGATAGGCTTTTTGCAGCCTGCTGTTTCAGCCAAAGATTTATTCTTCAAATAATGCGGTCTGTTATGTCCTGTGAAGAAACAGCTAATAAGTCTGTCCTAGATGGAACACATTCAATGAGTCATTTGGTAAGCATAAACATGCAAGTAAAACTGATACGTTGTCATAGGTAGGGGTTAACCACCGACCATGTTTGCCAGAAATACGACTGCAGCAGCCCCACCCTCAGCCAGCTCCACACATACTGTTCTGACAAAATAAACAGCAATATGCACTGTGAGTTGTTGCTTTAAAAATGTACAAAATTCTGCAAGTAAGTTGATTACTCAGAATTACAGGCCAGGTAATACATTGTTCAGTTGAATGTACCTGGTAAAATTAGTTGCCATTATTACTGAGGCAAATTTATATTTGATTTATCAAGCAATAGACCAGGACTTGATTAGTTTGAATTCTTACCAACCAGAGGTAGACTTTTAAGTGAATGAAGAATCCTTCTTAATTCACTGTTTGGTCTCTCTGCTACTTTTGCTTTTTGGATATGAAGAATACTGGAGTTTCTGGTGGGATTACAACATTCCTTCTCCTCCTAACAGTTGGAATGGGGAAGAGGGGCTTTTTTCACACCTGACATTTTCTATGTTAATTCTTGTGAATGACTCCTGATCTTCCTGTGTATAAAACCATGATTTTGATATGTCAGTTAGGTAAGTGCATTTCACAAAGTTCTCATGACATGTGTTAAGCTGATGGTCAAGCTATGGTGACTGCATTTTGTGTAGGAAAGCTTGCAAGCATCTCGGATATGCACAGCCATCAGTGTTTGAATACATTTGTCATGCATTGTCATCAGTGATAGAGAAGGAAGACTTGAGCAACCTGATCTGAATACAGGGTTGACCCTGCTTCGAGCATGAGCTTAGAGTGGATGACCTGCTGATCTGAATTCTGGCCTAAATTATTGTATGATATAATGAATACAAATATGTTCATAAAATATACTGAAAATGCGGTGGCTTACGTATTCATGATCCATGAAATGTTTCCTTCTTTTCACTGAAGAGCTTCTCAGGCTTCTCAAGATTTGGAAATCTCCTGGGCTGGATGACCTACTGTGTCTTTTCCAACCATAATTTCTATGTATCTGTAATTTTGAGGTTGACTTCTTGTTGCCCAATTTTACAGTTACTTAATTCCAGTATCAGGCATATTTTAAGAGACCACATTTAGTCATGGTAAGACTGTGTGGGTTGTTTTGTCTTAGTGTTATTTTTTAAATCCTTCTGAAGATTGTCAGCACTTAATGTATTCTTTCCTATTCCAGTGCCACAAATAATGTTCCTAGTCTGTGAGGAAAGAGAAGTCTGATTACTGGTTTTGGAATAGATGATCGATTAAAAAAAGTTGCTCCCAAAATTGTTGCAGTTCTGTGTCAGGTGTTAGGCTAGTTCTGCTGTTTGTTTCTTCCAGAAATGCATTTCCATCACCAGAATAAAGGGTGCAAGTGAGAAATTGTGTATTTGGTCATATGTTCAGCATTGTTTTCAATTAGGTTTATAATGAACTGTTCAAACATTTTTTAGAGCTAAATGCATGAGTACTTTTGAGGGCTGTGAGAGAATCCTAGTTAAAAATAGGCTTGATTAATTTTTCTTTTACACGCTTTGTATCCTAATTTGCTGCCTGCTTGCTAGTGATACATGTGAAGTTTGCCAGTTTCATTCTGTGTTTTTTTTTTCCTACAGCAAACAAAACATGTAAACAAATCAGGATTTCTTTCTGTTAGACTCAAAACTTAGCTTTGTCTTTGAAAACAGAGAGACGTGTACATGTATGACTGTATATTATACATACACAAATAGCATGGTCCTCCTTAGCTGGCTGAGAACCACTTAGCCTAGAATTCCTGTGGGGTCTCTGAAGAATTGGAAATTGGAAGATTAGCAGTTAGGCGTGAAAACAGCATTGATACTACTGAGACTTGCTTGGGGTCTGTTTATCTCTTATTCCATTTGAATGATGTGTGAAATAATTTATAGATTAATCATGCTGTTACAGCCATGAAATGCCTGTGTTAAAATTTGTGGAGAAAGGTAATCTTAGGTCAAAATAGTCTTGTGATCATTACCAGAGTTACGAAAACTCTATATGAAATATGATAACAAAGTTGATGGATTCAAGAACAGGTTGTTCTCCATTTTTTTAATTCTGCCTTACATCCTTTTTCTGTATTAAAAGTTACTTCTCTTTTATGTATATGTAGGTTCTTATAAATTTTCTTGTAGGGTTTTATGTTGCCTTCCTGGAAATCCTCACAAGTGTTTTGCCTACGGAGACTTCTGTCCTTTACTGCCTTATGTCAGTGCCGCATTTGATGATAAATGAAAGTAGTTAATAACTTCTTAGAACATAATTTTTCATATTTTATACGTATTTGTTTGCCTTTTTTAGTTTTTTAAAAAAAGCCTCTCCATTTTAATGTGCCTTTCCAAAATTGCTTCAATTCCTGTTGCACTCCTCTGAACTTGTTCCAGTTTGTCTTTTTGAAGCACAGTGCTGAATATGGAATGTAATTCATCCAGCTGAGACATAACCAGTCCTGAGATGATGGGAATAATGTCTTTTGCTCTTTGTGGAGAAAATCTGTGGTTCTTTGACGTAATTACTGTGGACCTTTGAAGTAACGTTGGGTAGATCCTGTAGGACCTGTTGATGTGATACATAGTGTGTAGATAAAATCCCTATTTGCCTTTCTAAAGCCTCTCTTTCTCCAGCTGACTCGTCAAATTGCTACTTGAATGCTGCATTTTGCAGTACCTGTATTAATCGCCAGTCTGTTTGGATGGTGTTTAATAGTAGGTAGCGTGAATACGTTGACATTCTCGTTTGTGCATTGATGTCAGCTTGAACAGTGATCTTCTATCTATACAACTTCCATTGCTATCGTTTGTGTGTGCATGTGTTATTTTTTTGAGTTATATATTAAAGCTGTGAAAGTTAGTGGAATGCACGAATGTTTGACCAGTTAAGGTTAATATTGATAGGGAAAAATACCCAACTACCTTCTTACTCTCTTGAAAAGTAAACCAGCACAAAATCCAACCAACACAAACCAGACAAAATCCTTAGCAGTCCCTAAAAAGATACTTAGTTAATATACTACATGTGAATGTTGGACAATAGTCTTTAACCACATCTGTCTGCTTACTGATAGTGGTGGCTTAACCTAAGTTAATCAATAAGAGCTTGGAAATTAATTTGTTAAGCTTCATATAAATTTAAAGTGTCCCCTTCTGACAGCCAAATACTTTAATTTGGAGATTTCCTCCAAACTCTTTGAATTCTTCTGTTTCGGAGCATGTGCTTTCACAGGAAGAATAATTTCTCTTGCCTATTTTAACTGAAGTCAACGAAGTTTACAAACATTTTGACATTCTATAGACCCTAAAGGGTTTTTGGATCATCCTTCATTCACATGTCAGAATGATATTTTTTTTGAATATAGATAATACCCTTCTTTGAGCAACCATGTATATCTTGAGTTACTTTCATTAGCAGAGTAACTTACCCTGCATTTTTGTAAAAGGAACTGCAATTTAACTACAAATATAACAAAATGCCACAGAATTCAGGGCTACAACTCAAAAATGCCGATCAGTTTGTAAAATCTGAATCAGCCCCTCCATGAAACCTAGGGAAGGACCTCTGTGGTAGCAGAAAAATTTCCAGAAATTCACCACAGTCTTTTTCTAAGTTGTAGTTTGTGCTGATGTTGCCAGACAACTAAGAAAGATGGGAAAAGCAGGACATCTTTTTGGATTTAATCACAGTGTGGATTTGGAAAAGCAATTTAACAATGGAAAATGTTTTTATATTTTAAAACATAAACACAGAACTATGAAGTACATGGTAGATCGTGATTGCATTAAATTGGATCGTCGTCACTGCTAATGAAGAAAATTCTTCATTTTGGAAACTGATGGTCAGAAATCCTACTTCCTGGATTTTTTTTTTTTTTTAAATATGTATCCAGACCAGGTTATTTGCTGTTTTCAGTACCATTTGTTGAGGTACTGGGGACTTCACTGATGTTACTGAGAGCAATAGATACAGCTTTTAAAGTACCATCTTTCTGTTTTCCTATTCTGGAAAGCTTTTTCTACTTTCCTGCTTTCAGAAGATGTTTGACGATATTGATGCACAGTGCTTATCTTTTCTATTGAAGATAATCAAATTCCATTGTAAAATACCAAATTTTTTCATTTATCTGGATCAATAAAAAAGTGCTTCTTAAGAAACATCTTACAGTTCTAGCTCTTGCATCCTCTATGTGAAAAAGTTCCTATTTATGTCCCTTGATCTTTTGTAGAACTTGTAAATTGGGCGACTTCAGGCAACCTGTGGAGATGAGTACTTGGGAGAAAGACTGAATGCTTATTTCTGAATGGGGAGGTGATGAGGTTATGAGGAGCACATGGATGAGCTAGGTAGCAGTTGTATTCAGTTGAAGATCTCAACTTATCTGACGTGTAATTGAAGTACAAATACATGAGTCATTTTGTCTTTTGACTCCTAGTTGATGATATAATCAGTCCATTTCTCTTATGAGACTGACCAATTAAATATACCGATTTTCCTGCAGTGTAGATCACTGTATTACTTCGTACTGCTGGGCTTTTACGGTTTGACCACAGTGACTTGTTCTGCCCAAGTCTGTCCTTTAAAACTAACACCATACCTTTGGTTTTACAAAGTTTTTATTGCTATTCTGTGACTAAAGGGGATATAACAATTTAGTGGTTTTGTTCTTGTTTTTAAATCAAGATTTCTGCTATATTCTAGTTCCAGTTGAAAGATGGATGACGATGAGTTTGGAGGATTTGAGGTATGTTACTTGGATTACTTAATATTGAAATTTAACTATTGTCAGCTATTTTTATAGGAATTTATAGTATTTTTTAAAATACGTAACAATAATTTTTTCATGTTTCTAGGCAGCAGAGAGTTACGAATGTGGAAACGGTGAAAAGCAGACTACCTCCCCTGCTATTGCTTGGGCAGCATTTCCTACAGGTATGGATAAAGTCACTATAAAAATTCTTAATAATTTATTTCTGTCCTTCCGTGTTCACTGTATGTATTAGTACCCAGAAGGGTGTATATGCATAATAAAAGAATGGGCAGCAGTGAAACCCTATCATAAGAATGTTCCCGAGTAATTGTTTTGGGAAGCTGCGCTTCTCAAAGTTAAACTTTCTTGAGGAGCGAAAGAGAAGTATGGTTTATCCAGTTCAAAGGCTGACTAGCATCTCATGGGAGGAAGAAACGGAGCTTCTTTACTCTAGGGATATTCTTACTTTTAAGTATGGAAGGTCTGTTGTGAATGATGGGAAAACGTACAAAAACTAGACTTAAAAATAGGACTTGAACATGTTACTTTCTCCATTAGATTTCTCTGACTGTGATAAAGTCTTTCAGTTGCTTTGGGGGCAGGGAGAATGATCATTTTTACTTAAGCAGTTTTTTAAGTTAGAGAATATATTGCAGATCCTTTACCTCAAACAGAAGCTGAAACATTAGGCAGCTACTTTTATTAATTTATATAAATGCCTGGTGCCTGTCTGGGTTTTAAGAAACTAATAAAAGCTTATTGATAGTGGATAAATGTACAATATCAGTGATTAAAAGGGTGTTACTGATTGGGAGTTGGTTTTGTGGGAATTTATTCTAGATTTCACTGCTTTCACAAAACAAAACATCACTTCAGCAGCACTAGGAGAAAAAAACCATATTTTATTCTTTTATCAGGAATCAAAGATTTCTGCCTGTTATTATATTATTGTGCTGAATAAATTATGAAAACTAATTATAGTTTTAAATATAATACAAGCATTTATGTCGATATAAGCTCTCCATAAATCTTGTTCTTCAAATGTTTTTATGTATTTATTTCTGGCACTACTGGCTTTCATACGTTTCAGAATAGGGTTTTTTTGCCTTTGAAGTAAAGGAAGACAAATAATAAGGAAACTGTATTTTCCCAAATATCTCTATTATTCATCTTGTAATTTTGACTGTTATTTAAAAATACTGCTTAAATTCATTGGCATATTTGAATGCACTTGAATAATGTAGCTATGCGATGTCTATGTCATGAAGTCTACTTTAAATCGAATAAGGTATGTAGAATTTAAATGATTTGTAAGTAACACTGAAGTTTTTTGTATGATTTGTGAGACAGAAGTCCTAGGGTAGGTTGTATACCAAGTTATTTTAAGTATTTCAAAATTCAAAGAAAACCCCTTGTATTCAGAATATTTTATTAGTGTAAAGTCTTTACATGACTTTTGCATGCAAATGTTTCTGTGAATAAATTAACTTGTTGCAAGAGGCAAGATTTTAATAGGTTCGATGAAAATGCGTGTTAGGCATTGACTTGTAAGTTAATGTTTTTAGTAAGAGAAGTAACTGAATTGTGTGCCCAATGTTGTTTCTATATAAGTTCTTATCTTACCCTGGAAATTTGTCAGTCAGTAAGGTTTGCTGAAAAAGTCAGAAATTGAAATGTATTATGGTGCTATTGAGATATTTTGACAGATTTGGAGTGTGATACCATTATATACACACAAGATTCGGTGAACTTTGTGGAGGAGGAGTACATTACTCATCACACCAATTTGCAGCATATTTGATGTTTGTAAGATGTAAAAAGTTCTAAAACAAAATACTGAAACCTGTTGCAGTATTTCTCAGTGTGTGAAAAGAAATCAGATATTATTTCTAAGGCCCCAGGGTTGTCTGGGTTTTGGAGAAATGTGAGAGAACTACTCAAACAGCAGGGTTTTCTTAGGTTGGATTCAGTAAATGTATTCATAAAGTTGAAGAAAAGGAAAATCTATTTAAAAAAAAAGCCACAACAAAACACTTTTGGAATAAAAAGTTGTTCTTTGGAAAGATGAGAACTCTCTGAGAACAGCAATGGAGTACTAAGTCTTATGTTTAAGGCTCAGACTTAAACACAGCTCAGAACTGAAAACAAAAATTTAAGTTTTTAAGAGCTCTAAAATAAATTATGGAATGTTCTAGTGCTGTATCAGTGGTCTGTCTCATTCCCAGAAGAGATTCAAAGAGGCTGACTGTACTAATTGTTATGGCTGGCCAGAAAACATATTTTATTTTCTTGATTTGTTATTGTGGCACTTTTCAGGGGGTTTTGCTCTTTCTTCATAAACTTAATTTTTTTGAGGAAATAAATGTAACACTTATGCTGTTCTCAAACAATTTTGTTTACTGAACATTATTACTAATATTTAAACTGAGCTATTTTTAATGCAGTGGCGAAATCTAACTGCGAATGTGTTGTTATTGACAACTTGACACACTTTTTTATGTAAGAAAGTAACTCTCAAGTATTTTAGACTCTAGAATGGTCCTTGCAATGGATAAGTAAGATACTTCAATGAGACAAAGAATTATTTGTAATTCAGTTTTGCTTTGTTTCTTCTTTAGATGCTTAGTAATAGAAGCACATTGTTGCACAACTTAATAAAAATAAGGTTTTAAGAGTGATGTCAGTTTGCAATTCAGTAAGTGTGTACTGGAATACTGAAGTGCCTACTTTTTTTATTTGTTTGTTTTAGGGTTTTTTTCTTCCTGAAGAAGAAATGTACAAACTGTCAATTTTCTTGTACTTCTGTAGGTGTCAGGTTAAGTACCTTTAAGCCTAAGGAGGATCTTGAAATTTAGAACTGTGCTTGCAGATTCTGGTGTTATCTCTGCTTTTCTAGAGTTATGAATAATATCTGTTGCTTATAGTGAACAGTAGGAATAGGACCTGGGTCTCTAAATGCTGTGTCAGTGTTTTGTTTTGGCAGGAATTCTGCTCTGGACATCACAAGGAGCTCATGTAATGGAGCAGATGAAAAAAACAAGCAGATGTTACAGAATCACAGAATGTTCGGGATTGGAAGGGACCTCTGTGGATCATCTAGTCCAACCCCCCTGCTGAAGCAGGATCACCCAGAGCAGGCTGCACAGGACCTTGTCCAGGGAGATTTTGAATATCTCCAGAGAAGGAGAATCCACAACCTCCCTGGGCAGCCTGTTCCAGTGCTCTGTCACCCTCAGAGGGAAGAAGTTCTTCCTGGTGTTCAGCTGGAACTTCCTGTGCCTCAGTTTGTGCCCATTGCCCCTTGTCCTGTTGCTGGGCACCACTGAAAAGAGTCTGGCCCCATCCTCCTGACACCCACCCTGCAGATATTTAAAGGCATTTCTAAGATCCCCTCTCAGCCTTCTCCTCTTCAGGCTAAACAAGCTGAGCTCCTTCAGCCTTTCCTCATAGGAGAGATGCTTCAGTCCCCTCATCATCCTCGTAGCCCTCTGCTGGACTCTCTGCAGTAGTTCCTCAAAGAAGGACTGTTTTGGCCCAGATGGAGATTGTGAATTGTTCTAAGTAAAGCTTGAATAGCAGAACATCCTCCAAATTACTGGGGAAGATTTTTCTCCTTGTTCTCATATTCTTTTGTTAACAATGCAGAAGGACTGTATGTATACAAAATCTATTTTTCATGTTTCATCTAAGAATTCAGTATTTCTGATGGTCTTGTTTGCAGCATTGAAAGAACAGATGTTTTGAAGTCTATGCAGTATGAGATGGGGTGAACTGTACTAGTGTGCAGACATGTAAGCAGACATCTGTGTAGCTTAAAAGGTTCTGTTTTCAGCTGTTGTGTTGAAATGGTTGTTTTCAGTTGTTTCTTTTCATAATAAATTTTGGTTTTCTGCAGGATATTAACATCTTGACTTGAGAGGGGTGGTGGAGGGGTGGGCAATAGTAGTAGGATACCAATATGTCCCTAAGGAGATGGGAGGGAACTGGCTTCATTCCTTGCCATGACTGGATGATGTTCAGAGGTCTTTGTTGACAATGGTATACAGCCTCATTTAACTCTGGAATGGTCTTGTTTTTCGTTTGCTGACATTTCCAGTACCTTGAGTATGTTGCTTTGAAAATGACTTCTATAACTTTTCAGATGTGACTATCTAGAATTTACATACGGTTGAAAGATTTTCTTGTAGCATGTTTATTAGATTACATACCACCTGCACTCTCTCTTGCTTAAAGTTGTCCAACTGCTTTAAAAGGCCATCCTATTGATTGAATATTTTGGCAAACCCAAAACAAAACACAACCAAAACCCCCCCAAAAATACCGCAAACAGAAAAACCTGATGGACAATGAGTTCTCAGTTTCCTTGTGCTGTGTAGTCATTGAATGCAATTAATTTGTTTCTGAGGTTCAGCTAAATGGTTGCAGTGTTGTAAATTTTCCATAGCTGTACATAAGGTTTACTTAAATAAGAAGTGAAGTTAGTACTTCCATATGACCTTAGATTTAAGATGTTGGAATAGTATGTGTAATTACTTATTTCCTAGAATAGCTTGGCTTTGGAAGAAGAAAATGTGGAGAAGAGCTTGCTGCTGTGAACTGTAGGAAATAATCTTTAAAGCACATGGGAGTGGTTTTTCTTCCTCTCTATATGTTGATGTACCACTGTAAACTGGTATGTGTAGAGAAGCAGCCAAGTGTTTGCTTTTGGTAGGAGGACATTCATGCTTATTGAAGTCAACAGAGAAATTGCTGTCATCTTCAGCATTATGTAGACATTTACCTGTTAATCCTAATTCTAATTACACTTTTGGAATTAACACTGACTTACATTTTGGTTGTTTTTGAAGTCTGTATTCCCCAACAGATGTGGAAATGCACCTCATTCTGGTGAATCAGTGATCTGCAAATACACTGATTAAAAGTGTTGTTTTTGGAAGAGGAGAATTGCTAAGGAAAATACTAAAATCCCTACAGCTTTGCAGAATGCTATGCATGACATCTGAGACTTTTACACCACTATTACGGGCATATTGTGTGTCAATTGATAGCTGTTAATATATCCACTCATTCTTTAAGCAATTGAACCTTTTCTAATAGTTATACATTTACATTGAGCTAAAAGCAGTGTAAGTACAGGAAATACTTTGTCTATTTTAAACTAAAATTTTTAGTTCTTGCTTCTTGTTTCATGGGAAAAGATTTTTTTCTCTTTTGGGAAGGATTCTGTTCTTCTTTCATAAATTAAGTTGTCTTCCACTAACAATGGCAGCTTAATTTCATTGGGTGTTTGTTACTTACATGCTTTAGAATGGATTTGACACGTTCTGTTGTGTCCTAGTTTGAGAAGTCTGTAAATACAGTCATTTTCAGTTTATTTTTCCCTAAGCTGCTTATTCATCATTAGGCAGGCTGTAGATCCCTTTGTTCTAGTTCTGGTGTTACAGTTGACAGAAATTCCTGCCAAAATTTCAGGTGTGATCACTGAAATGTGGACACACAAAACCAGTTTTAAACTTTCTATCTGAATATTACTTTTAACTGAAAATGTTCAGTGATACGGTTTACAGTTCATACAGTATAGTTTAAAGGGTCAGTGAATTGTATAATCAAAGATGTGAATAGTTAAGGATGGAAATTTAGGTTTTGTTCGTTGGGTTTTTTATTTTTAGCAGCTCAAACCTACACGTAGGGGAACTGTGCTGCAAGTAGTTTGCAAAGTTCTACAAAAGTATGTCAAAGAATTATTATATGGTCTTTTGCTCAGACCCCTGCTGGCGTAGCTTCTCTTAATTGCTGGATATGAATAACATCCAATTAGTAAATGATACTAATGTTTATTTTTTCAGTGGTTTATTTCATACCTAATGTCTTCATTCTGAAGCTCAAAAGTATAGGACTCACGTGGAATGTTGATTTAACAGTTCATGTTCATCCACTTGGTTTTTTTTTCAGAATTTCTGATCCCCCAGTGATTTTTAATAATGGTTTGAGCTTCATTACTAGGAGAAAGACTTAGAATTTTTCTTGCATGAGCAAAATTACAGGCTCTTACTGATCTCTCCTTCTGGTAAACTGTGTGGTTTTGTCAGTTCTTGCATACAGACCTGTGACAGAATATTCTTACTATTGGGAAGTCAAGGCTTCAGAAATTATCAGATTTTTTTAAAGTATGTTTATGACAATAACTTATATCTGCATTTTATTTCAGCCTTCTTGGGCAATTTTGATATACCTGTGATTGAGTACATGCTGCATTTTTTTTATAGTACTGCAGCTTTGATCTATGAACAATACCAGTTTTCTTTGGAAGTTCATCAGGACTATGACTCCTGCCCTGCTTACTGAAGAAGTTAGAGGACATATATTACATCAGGGCAACATACTGTAGAAGACTATTTTGTCATTATTAACAGAATGGCTGTGTATCATAGCAGGTGGTGCAGCAGTTGAAGAGGAGACGATCTGTAAAGTGGTGCTAAAAAGCCAATATCTGTACTACATGTGCTGCCAGAGTTTTGTTTCAGACCAGCATTAGCCCAGTCCTGTGGACCTGAACATCCATTAGCTGTTGGAGTCCAGTCAGGCAGATTTAGCAGAGGAAAGTTTTTGTTTCAGGGGTTCTGAAACTGTTCCGTTACGATAATTAAGGCATGGTAAGCAGAAATGATAGAAGGGTCATTTTCATAAGCGAATTTTGAGCTGAAGTAAGATGCTAATACAATTTCACCAGTATATACATAAAAGGAATGAATTAAGAGAGCTTGGATAACAGACATCGCACATGTAATTTAGAGAATGTCTAATTCATGAATTTCTAACATCGCTGAAAGTGGAAAAAAAGGTTTTGTAAAAAAGATGTTTGAGTGATACCTTGGAGAATTGCCACCTTTTCTTGTCTTTTGCAAGGTCATGTATTTAGATGAATAATTTTAAACCGCAGTGTTAAGAGGTGGTCACCAGTTGTTGCTCCTCACTTCCTAGGCTTTATTTTGATAACTTTAGAGATGGGGTTTTATTTCTGTTTTTTCTTCCCCCTTAAAATGCTAAGCATTCATTACTATAATTGAAATAACTGAAAGCTCAATTTGATTGTTCTACGTAAAACTGTGTTATGTGAAAAATGAAGTCTTATGTCTAGTATTGGATACCCCAAAATATGGAATACCTTAAGCTTTAATCTCTGTGAGACTCCATTCCTCATCTGTATTCAGACTCGGTTTCTTTTTTTGCTTTTGTGATCAAGTATTTATTTTAGTTGCGTTTCCATCTGGTGCAAATTGACTTCAAACTGAAATTCAGGATATTAAGTGGTAGCATAAAACTGAGACTTTTCTGGGTTTTTAGAATCAAAGTCATGTCACTGTCATTTGAACTAACAGAGTAGGTATGTGGTTATAGGAAGCTGCCTTAGTAACCAGACAAGGCGATCGGTAGGGGAAAGATGAATAGAATACTTTGGTGGGTTTCGCGGGTATCTTATGATATGTTAAGAAAGCCTGAAAAGTCCCATTTCCAATTCTGGAGAACGGGTAAAATGCAGTTTTCTGTCCTGTTTTGTTTTGCCCTGGTTACCTAAATTGGTTGATAATGATGATCCACTGTTCAGGATTTTTATGGCATAACTGGAAACTGCTGTGGAAGAGCTCTCACTCTGGTATTAATTACACTTTAGTTTTATTAGCTAGAGAGTTATTTACTTTGCTATTTTTTGATCTCTTATAAAATAGAAAACTGCTTTTATCATGTGTCTTAGTAAGCTGTTTGTGTATATCTTCCAAGACAGCTGAGGATATTTTACCTTTAAAATTTATTAAACTTAGGAAACTAAATACGGTTCTACAGTTCTACAGCTGATTAAAAATCACGCTGAAGCTGAAAGGGTATCTGAGTGGAAAGAGACAAAAGTTAAAACTGCTGCTTTTGATGGCAATTGTCTTGTGAAACATCTGTGTAAGTTACAACTCTAAATTTAGTGTGATTGTACAATTTTGAATATCCTTAAGTTGATAGTACTCAAAAATACAGGAACTTTGTATGGAATTATTCTTCAGTGCAATTAGATCATGAGAGGTACACAGCTTTACATCAGTAGGACTATGCTTGTTGCTACTGTGATGGGTTTTGCTGGGTATAGATTTCAGAAACAATTAATTTTTGAATGCTGCTTCATATCATGTGAGTGTTTTCTGTTTTTATTTCTTGCATTAGTGTCTGAAGTCTATTTGTCTCCTGATGCTGTTCTGGAGCACTCTGTGCCTTCTTCCTGCCTGGTTCCTTCCGACTCATTCATTTTATCAAGTGATAACATGGCAGCAGCTATTCAAACAGCCAACAATGTTGTAAATCCAGCTGTTCTTGAAGAACGGGTAAAGCCACAATTTTTGTTTCACTAAGAGAACTTAATGTATTAAATATCTTAACATTGTATCTTTTCTGTGCAAATGTAGGTTGAATTGCGTTTTAAGAGCAGAAGGTAGTCCTTGGATTTCTGTGGTACAGACTTTGAAGTAGAATAATTTTGAAATTATGTTTAAATCCTGTAACTGGGAGGCACCATACTACTTTGGTATGGACTGCAAGAGAGAGAAGTGTGTTAGAGACTTATTAAAGGCATGCTGATAGTGCTAGGCATGAAAGTAGGAAACAATAGCAGGAAGATTCTCTAAAACAATGTGTTGCTGTTAAAGCTATGAAGATTATGGCTGTGCATATATGTCATACTTGTATGTTTTCTCAAGTGGTTTTTTTGGTGATCTGATGCAGTCCTAGTTGTGTGATCTTGATCTCTCCTTATGGCTGTATTGCTTCTGAGAACTGATCTTAGCTTCTTTTTGAGGGGTGAAAGTGTTTAGTTTTTAACTAAATGGTTAGGTGAGCAAAGGAGGGAAAAGAATTTCTGCCTGGAGATTAGCACAAGAATGCAAGATTGCTGTGGACAAGAATTAAATAGATTTACCCTCCCAAGTGAATTTTTGTTGCCATTGATTGCAGTGACACCTATTTGAACAAGTTTATTGATTGTAAAGTTCCTTGTTTCAGGATGCATAGTAGTATATACTTGAATTAGAAAGTGCTCTTGTCTTTCTCCGAGCCAATCAATATTTTGGGCTACTTTGTGACCCTCCCGTTTCCAGCTGCTTTATTATTTTTCAGGTAGTCTCATCAAGTCCTAGGGCTATTCATGGTGAAAGCTGAATTTCATGATTAAGACAGATTTCCATAATGACCATTTAAAAACATTTTTCTTCAGCTATTTAAACAACTTGTGCAAAATACTTGTTTTGATTGAACTGACTGTTACTGTTTTTCCTTGGAGCAGCATCTGTGTGTTCACACTTCCAGAACGACTGGCTAGTATAGCTCCAAGATTTCAGTCTTAGTGATGAATTAGTTACTGTTTTGTATTTGTTCCCAGCCTAATGCTCTGAGGAAAGCCTTTAAAAATTGAAGAAGAGATGTGCCCAGGTGCAAATAATACCTAAGAAATTTGTGTTGAAAGCTCTTCATCTGCCTCTCTAACAATGTTTTGATAAGTAGATTTCTATTACTGGCAGGATGATCAAAATATGCTTTTCTTCAGACACAACAGATCCTACCCTTTTTAATTTTGGCTAACGGTGAAATGTGAATAACCTGTATCCTTTCTTGTTTGAGCTAGGCCAGCAGCCTTAGCTTGTGTGCTCTCTGGAAAGAGCACTTTGGATATTACAGAGTACTAAGACTTAGGTGTATTTTTTAAAACTAAAAAGTAATTTGGTTACATAATCTTACTAAAAATAAAAAATACACTTTGTAACTTCTGAATAATTGTGCGTGAGAGTTCTAGTTGTAGGTCATGTTTCAGTCTTTCTCATCTTATTCTGGTCAGCTACTGACAGACCCACGGTTCCACAAACACGAAATTCATTCTCTTTTTAATTCAGGAAATAATAGAAACTGAAGAATATAACATTAGCGAGTGTTACTAAAAGGAGAAGGGACGTTGAGAGGGGTCCTTTAAAATTATTTGGAAATGGAGATCAGACTTTGCACTTTTAGAGAAAGCTAAAGGAATATGGTGCACATAAAACTATAATAAAATATTATCACACCTGTTAGAGCAGAATGTTAGAACTATATTCTTCTGTAATTGTGTCTCCAGACCCTCTTGTTTCATGTTAAAAAAAAATTCAACTTTTCAGGTTCCAACATCACAGTTTTTGGCAGTGCCAGACTCTAATCTTGAGGAGTACTTGCAAGTAGAATTAGCACATCTAGCTTCTTTTTGCTTCTTACAGAAGGGAAATTCAGAGCACAAACCGCAATTTTCTTTCTGGCTGTTTTGTCTACTGGATCTTATGTGTCCATGTACAGTCAAGATCTCAGCTATTTTTGTTTGTTTCTTTCTTTGAATCCTTCAAGAGATACTTATTTATTGAAAATCTTTTATTTGAGTGTCTGTTTGGAATAAAGGGTGTTAATCCATTTCATAGAATGAATTAAATCAGATCAGTCAAACCTTTCTTAACAAACACATTGAGATGTTCCTTTTGCCACCCCTCCCCACATTTCAAGTGCACTGGGCTTTCAAATTGTTGTTGAAAAAGTGGCAGCTGATATTAATTTACGAACTTTTTCCTCTCCTGCTTTATAAATAAGCTTTTGTCTTTTTAATTTCTTTTTAAACAAGGAAAAAAGCTTTGGCATTTGTTAATTATACCACAAAATATTTAAACTTCACCTAATTTGTTTTTGTGCTTTTCTGAAAATGTGGGCTTATTATCAAAGTTTCATCTGTTTTGGGTTGTGTATTCTAGAAACCTCTGTTTCGGTTTTTGTACTTCTACAGTACACTAAAATAGCATCAACTAAATGTTGCAGACATACCCCAATTACTCTTACTCTGTTGGTCTAGCCTCAAGATGAGGTATTTATTTTAGCACAAAAATTTGTATTCCCTTTCCATGGCTACTGTTTGCAGTCTACATGGGGTGAAGCCATGAAGTGACTAATCCAAGGAGAGTTCATTTCCCTCTAAGCTTGATGCTTTGAGACAGGTCATTCAGCTTCACTTCTGTTTCTTTTCACCTCTTTTGAGTATTTTGACCTCATTGGAAACTCAGATATTTGTGCCATTCTCCTTCTTAAAGCCTTCTCCTAAAGCATTCTTGAAAAAGCAGTCCAGGAGATTGGAAGGACTGATGTGAATCCATCTAGAATTGCTAGCTACTGTTCCATTGTTGGACCTTTCTTTTGAGCCAGCACATCCTACATATGAGATTTCAGAGAAGGGTGGTTTAAAAAAAGTAACCTTAGTATTTACTTATTACTTAAGTTCTGTAATGTCATCTGGAAATGAAATCTGATTTGACTGGAATGTTAAATTCTCTTTAACCTTTCTTTTACTGTTTTGTTTCTTGTATGAATTAGATTCAAGCAGATGTTGCAGTTGCATCTTTGAATGTAATTGAAGAGAAGACTTCAGGTACATCAGCCATTGCTTCGGTTGATGCTGAGACACAGAGAACAAATGAATCAAAGAGCTACCTTCAAGAAGCTGTTGCAAACTTAAAACTGAAGCTTTGCACTGCTGAAGAAGAAAAATTAAAAATTAAAAAGGTATGAATAGTTTATTGATGAAAATATTTGGCATTTATATAGGATTTAAATACAGTTGGAGCTGGCAGAGGTTTGCAGTGCATTTTTGTAGTTTTCACAGCGTGGAGCCATGTGGTAACAAGGTACAGTCATTCCCTCATGTTTTGGGGGTGAGTGTGTGTTCACTGAAGTTGAAAGTGCCTTTGGCTATCTTTATAAACATAATACGTAACACTTTTTTTTTTTTTTTTCCCTGGGAGCTCTGGTAAGTAAATTATTTGTATTCCTTCTGACCTGAATATGATAGAGCACCAAGCAGGCCTATGCCTGTAGTTATGTGTCTGAGTTAGCAAAAGGTCAATGAGAAATGGGAGAGTAAGTTTAGTTTCTGCTATTCTTAATATTGTTCCTTGATAGCTGTCAAGGTGTGGTAGAGAAGGAGGAAAAGGCTTGCTGGAAATGAAAATGAGGATGAGTAACTAGAGCCAAAGATGAAGAGGTCTGGGGTGGATTGGTTTTGCTGGGAATTAAGTGTATAGAGGAGGGCTGGAAGGGAAGCATGAATACAGACTATAAGAGGAGATAGGTTTAGAGCTCCGCTCTGAATTGAAGCAGTATTGCACAATCAGTTTCTGTCTCTACAGTTGAATCAAAGACTTTGATTCTCAAGAACTGTTTTTATTATTTCGTCCAAAAGTAAGATTGAACTAAGCAGAACTGCTCTTTCTGTCCTCCTTATGACCCTCTCAGTTGTACCTTTGTTTGAATAGCTGTACAATGATCTGGCAGGTCATTTGTTTCTATGCTGGCTTCCTGCATGGCTGCAGAAATAATTGTTTTGGAGCAACTGAAAGGGTGCCAACAGTTATGTGTAGTAGGAATGAGTTTGGTAGGAGCAACAGCTGCATTAAGAAAAAATGAAAATCTTTAGCTCTTTGTATGGCACGTAATTTTGAAGTTTATTGTCAGTAGTGTCATTCTCCTTCCTCTTTATTGGTTCAGGTTGGGCAGGCTTCTAGAATGGCTCTCTGCAAGATCACAGAGTATTTAAAAATTTTATTCATTTTGGAGATATAGGTAGAGGTCATTAGGGTTGTATGTAATGGGATTTCTCCATTTGCAGTGAAACCATTTGCTAAAAGTACACTTAATATGCAGCTTTTCAAATACAGAAAGACAGAACAAGCTATTAAAAACATGGAAATAATTAGAATAGAACAGAATAATTCCAATTGGAAGGGACCTACAACCATCATCTGGTCCAACTTGCCTGAGCACTTCAGGGCTCACCAGAAGTTAAAGCATATTATTAAGGGCAGTGTCCAAATACCATTTGAACACTGACAGGCATGGGGCTTCGACTATCTCTCTAGGAAGCCTCTTCCTGTGCTTAACCACCCTCTTGATAAAGAAATGCTTCCTGATGTCCAGTCTGAACCTCCCCTGGGACAGCTCTGAACGATTCCCACGCGCCCTGGCACTGGATCCCAGGGAGAAGAGCTCAGCACCTCCCTCTCCACCTTCTGTCCTCAGGGAGCCATAGAGAGCAACGAGGCCGCTCCTCGACCTCCTTTTCTCCAAACTAGACAAGCCCAGAGTTCTCAGCTGCTTCTCACAGGACATGACTTCCAGGACATGCCTTTGGTTTTAAATACCTTATACTTGAAAATATTGTTTCGGTTTAAAGACTGCAGTCAGAGTTTTCTTGCACAACCCTTTGTCTCTGTGTATATTATGATAGCAAATGTCATGGTCTTCAGAAACGAAATTAGTTGGAATGATTAACTGAATCTGTATTTTCACAATTTGCAAATGTTTGTAACTTCATGTACTTTATTTTGTAAACTTGACAGGAATTAGAATATTTATTGGAAAAACACAGTATTCTAGAAATGGATTTCTTGAAGGAAAAAAAAGAGAAAGTAACTTCACATCAAGATCACTACAAGACACTCCAGGTAATTTCTTTCTTGTAGTATCTTAATTTTTTTCAGGAGGAGTTTTTATAAACTATTTTTATATGCAAGAAATGCTCTGTTCAGTATCTACAGGCCTTCTCCAAAGGCATTTGAATTTAAAGAATTTTAAGGTCTTTAGATCAGAGCCTGACTTTTGACATTGGTGGAAATATAGGTTTAATAGCCCACTTGCATAAGTACATTATTGAAACTCAGATCACTCATCCTTATTATGATCCACTTCATAGAACGGATGAACAGAAAAACACTTTGCACGATAGATGTGTGTTTAACAGTATGGCTTGGCATGTTCTAGAGGAGATATGGTCTGTTATTTGTAAAGTATTAACAGACTTGGATATGGAATAGCTTGTGTTGCGTAATAATAATCTGTAAGTGTAATTAGTGCTACACAATGGAATTAAAATTGCTTCCATTGCAAAAATCAACATTGTTCATTAAGTACATGTGTGAAGTCTCACATACAAGACAAATTTTTCATTGAAGTTTTCAGTCTTCTTCTAGTGTTGTAGCAGGACAAACTAAATATTATAGACTTACAAAATTTCAAAACTTTCTTGTTGGCAATTCAGCTTCACTTTTTTTTTGTGCTGCTGTGCATAGTTTTTAAGTAGCTACTGCACTGTTTCCCATTTGTACTAAAGACTTGCTGTAATAATTTATATTGAATTCCTGGCTGCAGTACTTCCTAGAACTTATGGTAATATAATAATCTATTTTTTTTTCTTGTTTATGTGTGTAACATCCTACTCAATGAAATAAATATTTGCTTAGCTATGTTATAAAAATGAGTTTTGCTTAAAAAACCTTCTGATTTATGGAGTATCGTACTGGCTAAAGAATTAGTGGATATTATTTTTTAATACTTTCACCTTCAAGCAGAAGTATTTAAGCAGTGGGAATGTTACTGAGATTTGCAAGTATCAGTCTGTCTGTATCGTACCTCTTTGAGTTGGGTACTACAGTTTTCAAGAATGGCAATGAAAGGGTCATAACCTTTAACTTTGTAGATAAACTCATGTACTTCCTGTTGTTGTCTTCTGGAGATAGCCCGAATCAAATCAGAGAAGAAGAGTGAGTCGTGTGTCTAAGAGCTGACAGTTAAAATTACTTTCATGAAACTTGGATATTGGATGCTCTCTATTAGTACGACTTTTCATGCCAATTCCTTTTGTCTTTCTCCTTTGGCTCCTACAACACTAGGGTCAACACCTGTGGCCACACACTGAGTAAATCTGGCAGCTGTGCAGTACAGCTGTCTGTCTTGCTAGCATTTCTTTTTCCAGTAGAAGCAGCTGGCTATTAGTGCTGTTGACTTGAAAAGCTTAAAAGCAGACTATGGTGGTGACTCTGGAAGAGCTTTGGGAACTCTCAGGGTGAGACTTCCAACTGAACTGATCCTGACATCCTAAGCTGTAGGTGTGCCTTGACTTGATTCCTCTTAAATGAAATTTCTGTTAATGTTTGACTATAACATGTAAAACAAATGTCTCATGAGATGGTTCTAACAGCTTTTTACATGAATGTGCATTATTTCATACATCTTTATATTTACTAATTATCTGAGTTATGGCAGTTGTGACAGGGAATTCCCAAAAGCTAGTTTGGAGGTAACAGAGCCAGTCAGTCAGATCTTTAACAAGGAGATATTTAGATTAGAGTATTTTCTTTTTTTGTGTAGTTATTGTGCTTAGTTCTGAGAGAAGATTTCATGAATCTTTTTTAACTAAGCCCAGTAATTCTTTTTTTTTTTCCCCATCTTTTCCCATTGATTTCTGACTCAATCAAGGATGGCAGTTATGTTACCACAGTTTTGTTGTCACAAAATTGTTTCAATAAAACATGCTTTCAGGTTTTTTATATTAAAAAAAAAAAAATATTTTGAAAGACAAGATAGGAACATAAAGCATTTTAAAGATGTTTTCTGAGTTGGGTTAGTACGCTGATGAACTGAATTGTATTCTGGCCTAGTCACAATCTTTCTTCATCATAGGTGTGGAGAAAGCCATATACTTAATTTGGTAGTACTGCAAATGGAAGAATTGAAGGAGATTGATAATCCCTGCTCCTCATCAAGGGGGGAAGATTTCCATCTTTGGTATAGTGTTAGCATTTAACCAATGGATGACAATAGTGTGTGTGTTGCCACATTTATGCTTGTGTATAAGAGAAAAGTAAAAAGTTGTGTTTCGTCTAAATAAAATTAGCTTTAAAAAAATCAAGATTGAACAGAGCGTGTAGTATTTTCAGATTCTTAATATTGTTTCCATATGTTACTACAACAACCAGAGACATTAGAAGGGCAGCAGTGGGTTCATAAATAGATAAACAAATTGCTATTAACTAGTATTATAGAATTGTTTGCATATTTAATGCCATGTTCTCTTTGAGATTTTTGAATTCATACAAGCTGGTAAAATTGCAGTTATGATTCCCACGTTCTCACTTTGTTTGTAGTATTTAAGAGGCAGAATAACATACTGTAATTCTAACTTCTTTGCACACAAAATGTAGCTGAGTTAAAATTGCTGTGGGAAGTGTAATTTTAGTTTTCTTGTGTGCAGTATTGGAACCATAAAGTTGCATAAATGCAATTTTAGCCTTATCATTCCTTGCTTATTTAGACAGGAAGGAAACAGGTGCAAATGTAAGCCAGATTTTTCTATTTTTTTTTGTTGGTATGTCAGTCTTTTTCCCTTCTTTTGATCACATGGTCTTGTAATTATTCATCTCAACTTTTAACAACTCAGCTTTTCTGTAAATGTGAGGTGCTGCATATTTTCAAGACATTTAGTGCTAGTGGGTAGTACATGTTTTTGACTTCAATGCAGAATTAGTGATCATTTTAATCCTATAAATCTAAGATTTTGCTGCAGCCCCATTGCAACAGGTTGTAGAAATGTTGCCAACCATACTCCGGGCTGCACCCAAAGCAGCGTGGCCAGTAGGTCGAGGGAGGGGATTCTGCCTTTTTGCTCCACTCTGGTGAGACCACACCTGGAGTCCTGCGTCCAGCTCTGGAGCCCCCAGCACAGGAAAGACATGGACCTGGGGGAGAGGGTCCGGTGGAGGCTGCAAAGGTGATCCGAGGGCTGGAGCACCTCTCCTATGAGGAAATGCTGAGAGTTGGGGCTGTTCAGCCTGGAGAAGAGAAGGCTGCGGGGAGACCTTACAGCAGCCTTTCAGTACCTGAAGGGGGCTTATGGCAAAGATGGGGAAAATATTTACAGCAGGGCTTGCTGCGATAGGACAAGGAGTGATGGCTTTAAACTAAGGGAGAGTAGCATTAGACTCGATAGAAGGAAGACATTTTATATGATAAGGGTGGTGAAACACTGGAACAGGTTGCTCGGAGAGGTAGTGGAGGCCCCAACCCTGGGAACATTCAAGGTCAGGTTGGACAGGGCTCTGAGCAACCTGATCTAGTGGTAGATGTCCCTGCTCATTGCAGGGGGCTTGGACTAGATGACCTTTAAAGGTCCCTTCCAACCCAACCCATTCTATGATACTATGAAAGGAATAAATGCTGCGTTTTAAAACTACCATTCCCCAATTTGTAATACAGTGAAAAACCGTCAATAGCGAAATGAGTACTCCTGTTTAGTAGGTGATGTCCTCTCATTTACAAATCAGAAAGGGAACATTTCATTTGAGAATGGAAAATAGTGACTGGGTTCCCGTGCTCTGAGTAGGAACTTAGTTCCTTGGACAGATTCTTTAGCTGATATGAATTCTGATGTTTGGTCTATCTACAGACAACTGTTTTTGATGATTCAGTAAGAACTGGATCATACTTTTCCCCTGCTATTTCTTTGATTTACCACACAGTCGCATTTGAAATAGTCTGCATTGCTGCTGGAAAATTGTAGTTGTGGTTTTACACATTTTTTCCCCATCATCAGGCCTTTCTGGAAGTTAAACAGACTGTTTTTTTAAAGAACAATATAGTTGACGTGGTGTGATTGTTCTTTTTGAAACAGAGATTTTTTTTTTTTATTTTTTTTTTTGCCAGCTGACATCTCGTCTTCTAACTTGACAAATCTATAGTTGTTTTGAAAGCAGAAAAAATTGGTTGGGTTGTTTTTTTTGATCTCTTGGTTCTGTTCTGCCTTTTTTTAGGAAATGTCTTTTAAATATTTTTTTTAAAGTGACTTCAATATGCTTATTTTGTTTAGCAATATTCCTGTTGTTGCAAAAAGTCATGATTAAAAATGCATTGGCTTAATACTGTAATTTCATTTTGAATGATATTTTTGTGTGTAAAAAAGCAGGTGGGGTAGACTCCCTCTTTAAATGATGTTTTGGAAAGGCAAAGAGAGGAAGCTTATACTGAAGGAAGTATTGATAGATTGATAAGTAGTGAAGTTTCTTTGGATCATTAGGTCATACAATAACATCTAGCTGGGACTAAATGGCATGGTAACATAAGTACAGTCATTGCAGGTATAAGATGTTGTTTCATTTATTTATTTCTGTAACTGTTGATGTTTGGGGAATTTTTCATTTGAGTACCTGTGCAAATGTCACATTAAATTATAAGTGCGTTTAAGTAAGACAAGAAAAGGTAAACTTGAGATTTGTGGACTAGTTTCATCCCTCCTAGTTTGGAGGGATGAGTTTATTTTTAATCTGATTAATATTGCATGTTAATGTTGGGTTTTTTTATATAGTGGACCCATATATCACACGCATTCGTATAAAATAAAATGCATACTTTGTTGTGTCTGTCTCCTTGTTTGTGGAGATCATGCTGCAAAACTTTAAAATACTTTGTAAGGTATATAAAAATTAAAACTTTATGTTAATGCTAGATTCATCATACAATTTCGCATTTAAATTGAGTTATACAAACAGTAATTGAGATGTACTTACAATTTAGGACTGAATATACTCTGAATCTCAAAAATTGTACCCAGTACATGTTAAAAACTTGCTTGTATTCATAAGGTGTTGAAAAAGGAATGTTAAATAATGTGGCT